ATATATAAATACAAGCAATATTGTTTACAGATTGAATAATTTAATGAAAATGAGATCAGCAAGAAAATGGTGAAAAAAATGATTTGAATATTTTAATGATATGCTGTTGGTTCGGTTGTCGTATTATCATATTTAAAAATTGCTGGTGACATACACAATGATGATGGGCCAGCATTTTCCTGACTTGAGCTCTTTTTCGATACACGACGTTTACTTTCTGCTAAATAACCACCTTTCATACGATCAACCTGTAAAATTTGTAAAGATTTCAAATATTACAGCAGTAAGGAATGGCAATATTGATTGATTTTGCTAAAATAATCAAAAAATTGTACAATTAAATTTGTTTAGATCAATATTGCATTAAAAGCCGAAATGTCCTCAAAATTGCATTTTTTTTGAGCAAAATTTAGAGCGCTGCTGATATTTTGATATTTTGTGATTGATTAATTCTTGAAATAATTTAAAAGATTTGGAAGATATTTAAATGCTTACAATAAATGATAGGAGCGCATTCCATGCTGTCAAGCATTTACGTTTACCACGAATTGCTTCAGCTTTTGCGATTGATTCTGCTAGCGAATCGCCAAATTGATCCCACGATGAGGACATTGAAGTTTGTGATGTATTACAATGTGCTGCACCCATTAGCATACAACGATCCTGAAATAAAAATTTAACTATTAAAACTTTTATGTGAATTTAATCAGTTCATATCATCAAAAACAAAAAAAAAAATAAGAAAATTCATAACAATAGTGATCGTTTTTTTTTTTTCAAAACAACATTGATCGATTTCTCAAACAAAAAAAAAACTGAAAATGTCAACGGAAAAATTTCTGATATGATAAATTGAAGAATTTGTCTGTGTCTATTTTTACCTGTACAACTTTGGTAGGACTATGAATTTCCTGCAATGCAAAATCGATAAGCTCAATTAAACTATCTGCATGCTCTTTGACGTCGTAACATTTGTAAGATGTAAAGCCATCAATAATTGAAGTTTTCTGGAACAATTCTTTTGCTATTGTATTTTTTGAAATTACAATCCTGAAAATAATCAAATAAAACATTTATTTATTTGAAGATATCGCCTTCTTTTTTTTTTTGCTACAAAAAGGTGTACTTTTTTTTTTTGTAAATGAGTTACAAAAAAGTATACTCTATTCTTGTGGTTAGAAAATTTTTTTTTTCGAAAAATGAATAAAAAAATTCAATAAAATCGGAATTTTTTATTCTTTGCTTTTTTGTTGTCATTTTTAATAATTTAAAAAATTATATCAATATAAGGTTTAAAAAAAAAAAACTTTCTCTTTACTCAAATAATTTTATTATAACATGGAATTGAAGGGTAAAAAATAAATTGATAAAAGGTATCGCCTCACATTTTTTATCAATGGTTAACATTTGACCGATTAACATTGATTGAAAGTTTGACTGATTTAATAGATAGGTCATTTTATGCTCATAGATAAGGTCAGTTTTAATCATTTAAACCATTAGCACAATTTCATGCAAGCTATATGAAATTATACTAATGGTATAAACGGTTAGATATTTCATCCTAATATAATTCTCGAAAATTAGATTTGAAATTTTCGGCAGATGAAGTTTTCTTGAAACACTTCGAAACTAAATTGTAGTGATTGAAATTTAACTACATTTTGAAAATGATTAATTTTTAATGCACTATACAGGATTTAATATTTTAATTTAATATTTTAAAAATCATACCGAAAAATATTGATAAAAAATTTGGGTGAGCAACGTAACCGTTTCCAACTTTGTTGCAATAAATGAATTTGATAGCTGAAAGCGAAAAGAAAAAAACATTAAAATAAAATGAAATTTTCCCAAAAATATCAAAATGTCGATGCCATTAGTGACTTGAAGTTTATCATTCCTTTCAAAAGTTTTTTTCTTTTAAACAATGATATTTTCTTATAAAAAAAAAAAGTGAAGAGAGAAAAAAAGGAGAGTATTTCCTACAGTAATCTTGTACGATACTTTTAGACTCATATGTATGGGCCATAAAATAAATTATTTTGTGTGCAGAAACAGCGGAAAAGCTTATTTTCTGCAGAATTTTTTATTCGAGACAATTACTTTTTAAGGCTTTTCGATTAATACATCAGTCCATTACAGTAATGGTATAGATAAGGCCTACTGGTTTTCCTTTTTTTTCCAGTACTTCCCTCTCCACTTCTACTAAACTTTGTTTCCAAACTTTTTTACTTTAATTAAATTTTTAGCTCCAAGCTTACAAGCTTTATCTGAGTGGCATTGTTGAAATGTCGAAATTATCTTACAATACAAAAATGTTAAAATTATGAAAGTAATTCTGTAGAAATTTATATTGCAAAAAAGAAAAAACAATTATCTAAAATATTGTTAGTTGAAAGATTTATGATATTTGCGAAAAAATCTTGCTTACTAATTTAAGATTGTAGATTATTTGATTAACTATCATTTTGTTATTTAATTTTACCAAAAACTTCGAAACGAATTGTTTTTTATATCTGATCATTGCTTGATTATGACGAATTTCATAATTGTTATTTATTTTAATTTTTGATCCTAACTAATTATAAAAGCGATCTTTATCTGGTATTTTCAATCAGATCTCTTTTCTCTCTTTAGATCTGATTCCAATCACATTCCCAAAGTTCCAGTTCTATTTCTCGTTATAGTTATATTACATTCGCTAATAAGGAATTATTTCTAAAAAAATATTCATAATAGACATCGAATAATTTTAAAAAGCAAATGACATTTTTCAAAAAAAAAAGAAAACAAATTGATTTAATGTTTTAAATAAATGTTTCCTTATGAAATGGAAATTAAATTGATCCTTTGAAGAGGGATATTTTTACACAAAAGAAAATTATCATTTTAAAAAGGTAGAAGAAATGATCGTAAATTATAAATTCATTTTCTAATTGTTATATCTTTTTTAAAGAATATCTCACTTGATTGGTACAGTTTGAAAATGATAAATTTTTTAAAAATAACTTTCATTTCAGGATGAGTTTTTTTCATATCGAAAATTAAAGAGATGAATATTTAGCAGCTCAAAAGATAATTATTTTAACAAATGATAGCTAAATCAATAATTAATAATGGAAGTAATGGAAAATGATTGATTGCAAAATCGACACTTCAAAGGAGGTAGAATTTTGAATTTGAATGCTTGGAAATTAAATTTGTAAACCCCATACAATAATCTATTATAAACATTTAATCGTTTTTTTGTGCCATTTTATTGCCACCTTTTTGTATATAATAGCGAAGGTTTAATATCGTCATTAACTATTCATTTTTATTTGTTAAATGAAAAATATAATTTACGACATTTCAAATGAAAAAAATGATTTACTCTGACACACACACACACACACGCACGCACACGCATACGTATTTTATCCTTTGAAACGTAATATTGTGCAGGGAAAATTTCTCAGCAGTTAAATTAATAGAAAGAAATTTTGAAATTTTAAATTTTTGAATCTTTGATATACAAACCTGGATAGTTGAAGCTGTTCAGCTAATGTATTTCCGGTATGACCTGTATCAGTGAACATGTTAACAAATAGTGGTGTACGCTGATTGTTTGATGGTGAATTCGTTGAATTTTTTGACTGTCACGGAGCAATTTCACCCCGCTCCACCGGTAATCGATAAGAGATGCAATTGATTTCTTATATGTTTGGTGGTACAATTATTGTTGCTATTCCTGCAACAATTAAATTATTTTTGCTAATCTATGCATTAACAAATGCATACACACACACACTGATAACATACACTCACACACACACACACACACACACACACAC